CCCTAATATTGTGACAAACCCATATGAAAGGCGACCTAAACCGGGTAAGACTGTAGCTTGCAGCTTGCAACACTAATATCCCCTGGTTCACGAGACGCGGCCAGTTGCGGAAATATTGAGCCTGCTCGATGTTGGGCAAGGTCAAGACCACACACTCAGCTCAAAATCTGTCTTTTTTGGCGCTTGTGGGCTAATTATTGGGCAGTGCAAGTACATTGGGCCACATTCTTCTTCTGGCGCAACAGACTCCATGTCTGTGCCTTGTCCTGGGCGAAACGAATTACTGGGCTGCCAAACGCAGGCTGCCCGTTCTCTGATTCAGATCCAAGGCTCGTATCCGCGTCGCAGGCCTGGCCCAGGCCGCAGGCGGTGCTGAGGTTGAAGGGATTGGGCGGGTTTTGACCTCAGTCGACTCGGGCAGTCGTATGCAACTCGGATGCCAGCTGATGGACTTGATCCCCTTTGCCTTGACTTGACTCCCGAATATGTTGCCAGCTGATTGACTTGAGCATCAAACATGTTGCCCCCGTGATTCTTGCTCTGTGTTGACCTTGTAGAGTACAACGGTGCTGTCTGCGACATAACCTTGCATACATGAGGTCTACTTTCTCTATAGTTTCATGGAGAAGAGGGTACACTTCCCCAAATAGCCCGAGCCACCAATCTCAGGATGGCCCACTGTCTGGCACCGCAGGTCTGGACCCTTGGGTGCTCCCTGCCACTAACCTGGCACCTGGACAAAGGGTCCTTAAAAAGAAAATTTGATCTTCCAGGTTTCCTCCCACAAATGCGATGTTAGCGGGAGGGGTACAAAGCTGATCAAAGTCAATTAGCCCAAAAACTCTGGAGAGCAACTCGAGCTCGGAGAAATTCAGCTTGCGAAATACTCAGACCACTTTCTGCAGGTGGCTCTCTTGCTAACCCTGATGGCATGATAGAGGGATGCCCAGCAAGAGGCAGGATATTGGAACATCACAGGCTGACATACCAAGATGTCGTTGGCAATCGCATATGCACAATCGTACATGTAGGGTACTGTCTGGATTCGATCAAATCAGTATTGAATACTGGCATCCGCCGTACCAGGCGTCACACGCTGCCTGAACAATCACAGAATGGCAAAAATCATGCTCCAACATCTTTATGTCTTTATGTCAAACGGCCTACCTCCTCTTCACTCGACCCACTGAGTACGTAGCACAACGAAGCACACCAGCGCACTAAGTCACTATGAGTCTCTTGAAGTATTCAAATCCTTCACCGATTTGGACAACACTTGATTCCTCAAATGCCCCGCATCGACCTCTTGGAGCCAAGGAAGCTCATCAACAGCTTTGTGTGTGTCTTTGTTTGGTCGACGACCGATTGAATGCTGCCTAAGTGTAACGTGCGGAAATGCTGCATGTGCCTTCATGTATTAGTCACCAGCAAACACACCCAACTCATCCAGCTCTACTGCCTGCTGGAAATGCTGCACGCAGCATTTCGAGACTGCCTCACAATGCAAAAGTCAGGGTCCACCAAAGCGTTTGTTTCAAGGGGTCGCTTCACCGCGGCTGGAACAAAGCGACGGCGCGCTTCAGCGACAGGTGGCACGTTGAAGGCTGGTTGTTGCAGCCTCAGGCGAAAAGGCTGTTCAGCTGGCGTGTCGCATGGGTCTGCCATCCCGTTGTTTGAAAAGCAACATATAAGCGGGAGCAAACGGACATCCAGCATGTCCATGTTTGGAACATTCAGGCCTGGCGTATGCAGTCTACTCAGCCTTCTCAAAAAAAAGGCATGATGGTCTCCTTGTGCCGAAGAAAGGGATGAACAGCAACGATGGCAACGCCAATAGAAACAACCAGGTGAGTTGCCATCAGCTGCGCTCGGCGAATGCTTGGCTTGAACAAAGTGGATCCAGCCACAGCTCACATTCTTCAAGTGCTCAAATTTCTGTGGCTCAAAACACCGGTCCCAAAATGGGTTGCCCTGGTAAGTGGGAAACATGGACCAACACCTGGGTACTTAACCCCTCCTGTTTCATTTTTCAGCCAAATCTGCATGGCGGAGAAAAAACAAATTCTCGGCCAGCCACTTGCCTCGAAACCGAGAGGCCATGGGATCCGGATCCGATCGGAGTGAGCCCTGCCCTGAGGCCCTGAGGCCCGGGCATCCGATGGGGTCGGTCACTGACCCCGAGCACTTGGCAAAAGGATCGCCCAGGGCGACCCTGGCGCCCGATTTAGGGCCAGATTTGAGAGGTTAGAAGTCTTGGGTAGCCCGATTTCTTTTTCTGTTTTGTCTATTTCAGTAGGGGACCCTCCCCAAAAAAGGGGAGAGAAGGGCACTACTGGGACCTAGTTGTGGTAAAGCACCAGCTTCCTGATGGACCAAATCGTCGGGGACCAGTTGGCATCGAACCCCATACCCTCCCGACAATTAACATGGAACCTGACAGGCAATTCCTCGAAGACCGTTTTCCTTTTGAAGGGACCCCTGTCAGGTTCTATGTAAATTGGGGGGGGGGGGTATATGGAATTAACCGCCCAACCAGGGCAAGATGATGGTCCAATTTGAGACAGCAGCCCAAGCACATGATGTTTCCCATGAATGATTCGCCGAGCAAGGAGATTTCTGGATGGCAGCTTGAACCTCTGGAATATTCACAGATGTGTGGGGCTCCAGCAGGACCACCACAATTCTTGAACTGATGTCCAAGACAATTAAATGCCCGCATGCGACGTAGCAAAGTGTTTGTTGGGTGCGAATGCTACGCACAAACACCAAAAGTTGAGTTGGTGGGCAGACTCTGCTTGTCCTGCAACATGAGACTCAATGATATATGCAGAGCAGCAACAAGTGCCTGTGAAACTAAACCTTCGCAAAGAGTGGAACTCAAATCAGCTTGGACGGTTTGCGGAATGGCGCACCATGTGGGAACTTTGGCCCCACGAGCTTGTTGCGCTTTCAACCCGTCTCCTGCAAAACGCGAGCCTGTCACCTCTATCCTCCGCTCCCGTTGCCAGACTCTTCACATCCGCCTTTTGCCTCCCGGTTTGCCTCCCGTCCCAGCCGGCGTGATTCCAACTGCTTGCTTGGACCTCCGTTTGGCACTCCGATCGAGGCTTGTCTTTCACGCTACGGCATGCCTGCGACATGCGAGCTGGCGCTCCCCGTGGGTCCGGGGAAGGGGCTCAAAGAACCTAGTGCAGCCTCCACCAAAAGGTGGCCCAAGGGGGATTGGCCGATTGGCCTACCAAAACCTCATAAACAACTCCAAATCACAACTTTGCTTTTTGGTTCTACGAGTTAGGCCAGAGGGCTTAATCAGGCCCGAAACAGAGAGCTGAAGAAACGAAAGGCAAAATCCGAGGTGTTGAAAACTTGATGGCAATTGAGAAGCGCGAAACTCAACGGGCTGAAACCAAAACCTTAGCGCGACGAGCCCGAGATCCGTTGGTTCAAGGCCCCCAAAGGCTCAGCTCGGCCGAAGGGCCCACAGCTGGCACCATCCTGCGAGCAGACGTTGCCTTGGAGCAGCGCGCCGCGCGCCGGTGACGCCAAATGCCAATGTATCTGAACCCTTGTTTCATTGCTTAAAATTAAACTTCCGACGCCATGTTCTGGGTGCCAACTAAAAGCAACTTCAGCTTCATAGTTTAACCATGTTGCCAACTCAAAATTGCTAGGTGCCTCAGGATTTGCAGTGCGTTGCGTTCTGATGTGAAACTTCAGTGTGCTCTCAACTCGCCCAAACTCAGAAGAGGTTGGTGCTTCAGGTACAAGCAAGCCAGCGTGCCGTGTGAGTGTCGTTGAGGCGACTGTAGCTGAGTTCAAGCAAATCGCCTACATGCAGGTGCATCAACTGATCTCGAATCCAAACAGCTCATTGACAGGAGTTATCCAGGGGAATCAACATGAACAAGATTGGGCAGAGCTTGAATGTGCTCTTCTTGCGGCCTGTGCTGGAAGAACTAATTAACACCAAAGACTCCAATCCTTCCTCCTCGCTCCTCGGTGTTTCTGCTGAGTTGTCTGCAATCTTGGACACGTGCGTGATCATGTGCTCAAAAGGACGAAGCAACTGCTCACCTCCCAGCACGTCAATGAATTGAAGTCACCGCTATCAGTACCAGGCTGATATTCAAAAAGTTCCCTGGGTTGTCCTCAGATCTCCTGCAAAAAGTTTCGCTTTCAGTGGGCTAAACACGGAAACCCCACTACACCAACGAACAAAAATCGAAGGAGCAACGAAATAGCTCGTGCCGTTGCCTGTCCCGTGTTTTTTTGTTTGTTTCTTGGTTTTGTTTTCCTCCGAGGCTCCGAATTGGCACTTGCAGTAGCCGAGGATGGGCCCACCGAAAGGGTTGAATTGGATGTCAGCATCGCACACAGCACCTGCCGGGGGCGCGATTCGGGATGCGGCTGCAGGTCAGAAGCCTGGAGTGGAATCAGCTACCTGGTGGTTTGGAGTGGTAATTCGTTTGGAGGTTCGGGGTGGTTTCTCATCCACCCTCTACAAGGACCGGGGCGCAAATCCAAACCACTCACAGCCCGGGTATCCCAATTGGGCAAACGCTAGCCAACCAGCGTCTCAAGTCAGGACCCATGCCAACATGCCTACATGCCAACTGCCGACTGGTTGACAACGTTGACTGCATGCTCCGCGACGTTGGATTCATTCTGGCTTCGTGGAAGGGGTGTGAGTTCCGAAGTTTGTCTAGGCCGTCCACAATCAGAGGTGGTTCCACCTCTAATGTCCAAATGGGAGTAGTAAATGCACGCGCTATAAAGACAACTCGGGGGCCCAACAGGATTAGTAAATGCACCTGGAATAAAGACAAGCACCCGCCACCCGAGCCAAAAAAATCCCCCCACGCCAAAAATCACCCGCGCCAAAAATAATATCCGCGCCATAATTGTCAGCTTTACCAGACCCATGTTTTCTTACATGTCTCTTGTTTAAAACTTGCCCACAATCAAACCCACAAAGGGGGTAGTACTTCAGCCCCCAACTTGACATTATTTCAGGGGCCCCCGAAATACAGTCTTGTTGCCTGCCCCCCTGGAAAATACAACCTGCCCAGTGCAATTGCCTCTTAGCCAGTCAAGCAATTAGACAGCCTAGGTGAGGCTGGCAATGCTTCATGCTGTGTTGTTAGATTTGGGCCTGCTCCTCAAATCCCAAATTGTCAGCTTCACCAAACCCATGTTTTCTTACATGTCTCTTGTTTAAAACTTGCCCACAATCAAACCCACAAAGGGGGTAGTACTTCAGCCCCCAAGTTGACATTTTTTCAGGGGCCCCCGAAATAAAGTGTTGTTGCCTGGCCCCGCCAAGAAAAACAAAGGGAAGCTCCAGCAATACTAAATCAAATGGAAACTCAAGTCTGCCAATACTAAATCAAATGCGAACTCAGTTCCAAATTTCAGAAGAAAGCTCCAGCAATACTAAATCAAATGGAAACTCAGTTCCAAATCTGAAAAGGAAGCTCCAGCAATACTAAATCAAATGGAAACTCACTTCCAAATCTCAAAAGGAAGCTCCAGCAATACTAAATCAAATGGAAACTCAAGTCTACCAATACTAAATCTAATGGAAACTCACCTCAAGATACAGATACTATTCCAAATACCCCCATCGTTGGGGGGGGGGGACTTCCCGTTTACTAATCCACATTGGACATTACTAGGGGATTAGCACCAACTCCCGGGATCTTCCAATAACACTTGGCCCAGGACCACAAATATGTGGCCATGAACAGGACAACCTTCCCGTGATGTCCATCCAAGGGTGCCAAAAAAAGAGGAAGAACAAAAAACATACCCATGAACCAAGGCGGCTTGTAAGGGAGGAAACCTGAAAGATTACGCAAAGAGACGCCCGGGCATAGGTCCCTTGCACAAATCCTCTTTGATGCTACACACACTCCCTGTAGAGGATTCGACTTCCACTTTTAACAAGAAGAACTAAGAAGTGTTTTGGCCGTCTTGAATTGACTTGTGCCTGCATTTGCTTGCTTGCGGTTCCTGTTTGTTTCTTCTTCTTTTCCCCCGCCCCCCCCCAAACCCCGGTTTTTCCCCAAAAAAGTTCTCCGGGCCGTCCGGGCCGGCGCCTGTGGGGCACAAGGTGCTGTGATCGAAGGGGTTGGGAGGGTTGGTGCAGCTCTTGCCGCGCGCGATGCAGCAGGCGGCCTCGGGAGCCTGAGCAGTTCTCCAATTCAATAGCCATGGGCCACAACCTGTGTGTGTGGCTCTTCAAACGTTTGTTCCCTAGGAACCCAAGACCTCAAATACGAGGCCTTTGGGGGTTCAAGGCCCATATTTAGGGTCTTGGGCTCCTTTGGGTGATCTTCATACACTTGGCTGAAAATATCGCATGAAGTAGCACACAGTCGCATTCTCAAGGAGGCCAGTGCTTCAGTTGGGGTTTCTGGGTGGGTCATTGTCATGGATCATGACCATTTGGCAAGCGTTCTTCGGACGCCCCTACCCCATCTGGTGGGAAACTGTTAGTGACGCTTGAAAAACCATTGCATGACTATGCCGACAGGCAGTTTCAGCGAAAACGGGATATCAAGAGGAGGGCTGCTGCTTTGGAGTTTTCTGTGGATGAGTACAATCGCTGCAAACCCCATCGCAGAAGAAACTCATTCTGCGAAGCCTAAGCATGGCAGAATTGATTCAAGATCGGGTTGCACCCAAAAGCAGCGGGGAAAAACATGTCCTGTAGTGAAATCGATTCCCTGGACGAAACAGGAGAACATGCACATATTCTTGAGCAACCAGAAAAAAATCACAAAAAACAAATCCACCCAACCAGTTTGCTTTAAAGGACACAACTCTCCTTAAGGCTCCGTTGCGTAGGTTCCCACCCGTCGGGATGCCAAACACTCTCCACCTTAGTCCCTGAGGCATGGCAAACGCCAAGGCTGCATGATTGTAACACGCTATCATGCAGCTTGTGTGAAACGAACAAATCTAATAACATCATGTTTACACATGTACACACCTGTATAAACTCAGATGCCCTGTGGCCATGAAAAAAAATCGGGCATCCTTTTGTGGTTGGTTGGGTTTAAAGGGAACCCTTCCCAAAAACAGAGGGACAAAAAGGGGCGAAATCCACTGGGCGACTGGGTAAAACAAACGCGGCAAGTCTATTGAGCTTTTCTGATCTTTCCCCTCGTGGCCAGGCGGCCACTGGGTCGCAGCTGCCGCCGACGAATTTGGCCGTGCCATTCTGGGCGTCCGTGGCGTTCTCTCCGGCCGTGGCGTTCTCTGCGGTCGCAGCCTGCGAATGGATCCATGGGCCACGGGCCAAGCCGTTGTATGCTGACTGCTGTGTTTCTTTTTAGGGGGCCAGGGTCTAGTTGATTGAACAGATTCTGCGAGCTAAGATAATTCGCATGGCCATCCTCATGAAGGGTCGCATGCTATAGGGTGTCTCTTAGAATGTCGGAACCCCTAACACAACACATATAAAATTGTAGATATATATAGTCACCAAAAAAACCCGGCATTGGCTTCCCTTTCCATCTACAAAAAAACATCGAGATCGATCCGATCCCCAAGTGCCAAACTCACAGATCAGTTCGCGCCTGCACAGAGTTTCGGTTCAGATGCCGCTTCTCCTTCTGGAGCCTCGAAGCAGAAAGCTGAGAATTTGGGGCACCGCTTCTAACCCTATCCCTAGCCCAAGACCTCAAGTATCGAGGCCTTTGGGGGTTCAATTTAGGGTCGCGGCCTCCTAGGGTAAGAAGGGCCCAAAGCCTTCTCAAAAGGCTATGCACAAGTTTCTGAGGGGCGAGCTTCTGCCCAAGGGGATTGGCCTTCTGAGGGCCTGTCAGAAAAAGCCCGACGACTCCACCGGTGTGCTGGCTCCATTGGTTTTGCTCTGATGCTAGCTGCTCGGAGTCCTTCTTGCAGGCAAATGAGCAGTGTGTTCTTGGCGGCTCGGGGCCTATACAACACTTCCATGCCTACGCGGAAGCCTCCGCGAGCCCACGCTGCTACAAAGGGTGCCACGCGAGCACAAGTCATTTTGCAGGGGCCTACGCGGGCGCCGCGCTACTCGGGCAAAAGTGGACTACTCGACGTGCACTTTGGCAGGTGCAGCTGGCAAATCGCAACTTTTCAGTAGCAGTGTAGTTTTGGCCCCGGCTCTAAGATCACCTTTGCACAAAGCGAGAACCCCACATCTGTCCAAGGATCTGGACATCTGCTGGAAAAGTTCTATATATTCCGTAGGCTTTCAAGGCGTTTTGCTTGCGTATACACAATCAAAATGCCTTGAAAGCGTACGCAAATGCCGATGCGGGGCCCACGCGCAGACTATAGAACCCACAAAAGGAAGGCAAAGAAGCATTGTATTTGGCAAACAGCATTAAACCATGATTCGTTCAAACAGTGCCTGCACGAGAAGCCTACGCGAGGGGTGACTGACACAACAGCCTACTCGCAGAAGCCTACGCGAGCCTACGCCCCCAACCAATTGCCTCCGCAAAGTACGTCCCTGTTTGCATGAACCCTTTCATTTCATTAAAACTCGCAGCAAACTGTATCACTGTGCTGCGAGCAAAACTGTTCAACGAGCGTGGCTATGACAGCTTCGCAATGCATGAGTAATAATCCATCGACGCTTCGAAACAGCCTGCTTGGACGAACACAGCTTGCAAGAACGCTCTACCGTGTGAAAAAGATGTGTTAAAGGAGAGTTTAAGAGAACAGTGCAACATGGCTTTGGAACATCCTCTTCTCTCGCATGCCCCTTGTTCTACGTATTCCTTCTTCTGCAGCTTCCTCTAATAGCCAAGCTGTGTCTTGCAAATTCAACTACTAACGCACAACTCGCGTCATGAATTCTTTCAGCATGAACCAACGCATCAATGAAATGAGGAGCGGACGAAACCCTTTACTTGGCCTTAGTACTTTTTTTAACGTCATCGTTTTTGGGGGAGACCTCATCGTTTTACAGTGTTTTCGAACTTTGGCAGATCCGGCTCCAAAATCGCAACTTTCTAGCACAAGTCTAGTACGCGAAGTACACTTCCGCAGCTCCAGCTCGAAATTCGCAACTTTGTAGTACAAGTCTAGTACGCGAAGTACACTTCCGCAGCTCCAGCCCGAAAATTGCGAAATACAATTCCGCAGCTCCAGCTCGAAAAGCGAAACTTGGCAGGCAGTACAAGTCTAATACGCGAAGTACACTTCCGCATCTCCAGCTCGAAAATCGCAACTGTGCAGTACAAGTCTAGTACGCGAAGTACACTTCCGCATCTCCAGCTCAAAAATCACAACTTTGTCGTGCAAGTCTAGTACGCGAAGTACACTTCCGCAGCTCCAGCTCGAAAATCGCAACTTCGTAGTACAAGTCTAGTACGCGAAGTACACTTCCGCATCTCCAGCTCGAAAATCGCAACTTTGTAGTACAAGTCTAGTACGCGAAGTACACTTCCGCAGCTCCAGCTCGAAAATCGCAACTTTGTAGTACAAGTCTAGTACGCGAAGTACACTTCCGCAGCTCCAGCTCGAAAATCGCAACTTTGTAGTACAAGTCTAGTACGCGAAGTACACTTCCGCATCTCCAGCTCGAAAATCGCAACTTTGTAGTACAAGTCTAGTACGCGAAGTACACTTCCGCATCTCCAGCTCGAAAATCGCAACTTTGTAGTACAAGTCTAGTACGCGAAGTACACTTCCGCAGCTCCAGCTCGAAAATCGCAACTTTGTAGTACAAGCCTAGTACGCGAAGTACACTTCCGCATCTCCAGCTCGAAAATCGCAACTTTGTAGTACAAGTCTAGTACGCGAAGTACACTTCCGCATCTCCAGCTCGAAACTCGCAACTTTGTAGCACAAGTCTAGTACGCGAAGTACACTTCCGCATCTCCAGCTCGATCCTCGCAACTTTGTAGTACAAGTCTAGTACACGAAGTACACTTCCGCATCTTCAGCTCGAAAATCGTAACTTTGTAGTACAAGTCTAGTACGCGAAGTACACTTCCGCAGCTCCAGCTCGAAAATCGCAACTTTGTAGTACAAGTCTAGTACGCGAAGTACACTTCCGCATCTCCAGCTCGAAAATCGCAACTTTGTAGTACAAGTCTAGTACGCGAAGTACACTTCCGCATCTCCAGCTCGAAAATCGCAACTTTGTAGTACAAGTCTAGTACGCGAAGTACACTTCCGCAGCTCCAGCTCGAAAATCGCAACTTTGTAGTACAAGTCTAGTACGCGAAGTACACTTCCGCATCTCCAGCTCGAAAATCGCAACTTTGTAGTACAAGTCTAGTACGCGAAGTACACTTCCGCATCTCCAGCTCGAAAATCGCAACTTTGTAGTACAAGTCTAGTAAGCGAAGTACACTTCCGCATCTCCAGCTCGAAAGTCGCAACTTTGTAGTACAAGTCTAGTACGCGAAGTACACTTCCGCAGCTCCAGCTCGAAAATTGCAACTTTGTAGTACAAGTCTAGTACGCGAAGTACACTTCCGCAGCTCCAGCTCGAAAATCGCAACTTTGTAGTACAAGTCTAGTACGCGAAGTACACTTCCGCAGCTCCAGCCCGAAAATTGCGAAATACAATTCCGCAGCTCCAGCTCGAAAAGCGAAACTTGGCAGGCAGTACAAGTCTAATACGCGAAGTACACTTCCGCATCTCCAGCTCGAAAATCGCAACTGTGCAGTACAAGTCTAGTACGCGAAGTACACTTCCGCATCTCCAGCTCAAAAATCACAACATTGTCGCGCAAGTCTAGTACGCGAAGTACACTTCCGCAGCTCCAGCTCGAAAATCGCAACTTCGTAGTACAAGTCTAGTACGCGAAGTACACTTCCGCATCTCCAGCTCGAAAATCGCAACTTTGTAGTACAAGTCAAGTACGCGAAATACACTTCCGCAGCTCCAGCTCGAAAATCGCAACTTTGTAGTACAAATCTAGTACGCGAAGTACACTTCCGCAGCTCCAGCTCGAAAATCGCAACTTTGTAATACAAGTCTAGTACGCGAAGTACACTTCCGCATCTCCAGCTCGATCATCGCAACTTTGTAGTACAAGTCTAGTACACGAAGTACACTTCCGCATCTTCAGCTCGAAAATCGTAACTTTGTAGTACAAGTCTAGTACGCGAAGTACACTTCCGCAGCTCCAGCTCGAATATCGCAACTTTGTAGTACAAGACTAGTACGCGAAGTACACTTCCGCATCTCCAGCTCGAAAATCGCAACTTTGTAGTACAAGTCTAGTACGCGAAGTACACTTCCGCATCTCCAGCTCGAACATCGCAACTTTGTAGTACAAGTCTAGTACGCGAAGTACACTTCCGCAGCTCCAGCTCGAAAATCGCAACTTTGTAGTACAAGTCTAGTACGCGAAGTACACTTCCGCAGCTCCAGCTCGAAAATCGCAACTTTGTAGTACAAGTCTAGTACGCGAAGTACACTTCCGCATCTCCAGCTCGAGCATCGCAACTTTGTAGTACAAGTCTAGTACACGAAGTACACTTCCGCATCTCCAGCTCGAAAATCGCAACTTTGTAGTACAAGTCTAGTACGCGAAGTACACTTCCGCATCTCCAGCTCGAAAATCGCAACTTTGTAGTACAAGTCTAGTACGCGAAGTACACTTCCGCAGCTCCAGCTCGAAAATCGCAACTTTGTAATACAAGTCTAGTAAGCGAAGTACACTTCCGCATCTCCAGCTCGAAAATCGCAACTTTGTAGTGCAAGTCTAGTACGCGAAGTACACTTCCGCAGCTCCAGCTCGAAAATCGCAACTTTGTAGTACAAGTCTAGTACGCGAAGTACACTTCCGCAGCTCCAGCTCGAAAATCGCAACTTTGTAATACAAGTCTAGTACGCGAAGTACACTTCCGCATCTCCAGCTCGAAATTCGAAACTTTGTAGTACAAGTCTAGTACGCGAAGTACACTTCCGCATCTCCAGCTCGAAAATCGCAACTTTGTCGCACAAGTCTAGTACGGGAAGTACACTTCCGCAGCTCCAGCTCGAAAGACGCAACTTTGTAGTACAAGTCTAGTACGCGAAGTAAACTTCCGCAGCTCCAGCTCGAAAATCGCAACTTTGTAGTACAAGTCTAGTACGCGAAGTACACTTCCGCAGCTCCAGCTCGAAAATCGCAACTTTGTAGTACAAGTCTAGTACGCGAAGTACACTTCCGCAGCTCCAGCTCGATCATCGCAACTTTGTAGTACAAGTCTAGTACTCGAAGTACACTTCCGCATCTACAGCTCGAAAATCGCAACTTTGTACTACAAGTCTAGTACGCGAAGTACACTTCCGCAGCTCCAGCTCGAAAATCGCAACTTTGTAGTACAAGTCTAGTACGCGAAGTACACTTCCGCAGCTCCAGCTCGAAAATCGCAACATTGTAGTACAAGTCTAGTACGCGAAGTACACTTCCGCAGCTCCAGCTCGAAAATCGCAACTTTGTAGTACAAGTCTAGTACGCGAAGTACACTTCCGCATCTCCAGCTCGAAAATCGCAACTTTGTAGTACAAGTCTAGTACGCGAAGTACACTTCCGCAACTCCAGCTCGAAAATCGCAACTTTGTAGTACAAGTCTAGTACGCGAAGTACACTTCCGCAGCTCCAGCTCGAAAATCGCAACTTTGTAATACA